CTGCTTCAAACTTTTTTTTATGTTTTTGACAGATTGATGCTCACCACGGTACTGAGTACAGTAAAAAAATGTTGTAATACATTACTAAAATAAGAAAACATTTTATTTTCACATATATGTAATTATATTTTCAATATAAAAAACCTTAAGTGTTTTTCTTTTTGTTTGTTTGTTCTATATTAATTGAGAGAAAATTTGTGCTTCTGTTTGTTCCCAATAATAATGTATTATTATTATTTATTTTATTGTTTTATGCTGTGTTTTTTGTTGAAAACCTAGTTTATTTGTTTTGAGTTTTTGAATGAATAAATATATAATTTTTGAAGCATTTGAAACAAAACAAACAACAAACTCAAGGGCAGTGTACCATTGCTCTTTGGGCATCCCGGCTCGGGGACCATTCCCGAGACCATTCCTCTTCTGTCTCTCAGAATTCGTTCATGTCTAAATCCTGTCCTATCCTAATAAATCCAGAAACTCCTTTTTCCCCAAACATACCAAAAGTATTTAGGAAAACATTTCTTTCTGAATAATAATAATAATAATAATATATTATTACTATTATCAATAATAGTGCTAATAATTTCCACTGTTATATTGGGTTCTTGTTATGTCCAAAATGTTTATAATGGGGTATATGCAGAAGGACTTAAAAATATTCAGTAATGTTTCTGGCGAACTGTACGCCCTTATAAAATTGGTGCTTTTAAGGTCTCTAATCTTTAAAAATCAACAATCTTCATTGTCTTATTTATATACAATATAAAGTGGGTCTCAGAATGTACAAGAAGCACTGAATTAAATAACATTTTCCCTGGCCATGTCTTTAAAATATGAACATTTATTTTACCCCAGTATTTTCAATGGAGTTTCTGCACTAGCCTGCTAATCCTGACGCGTGTGTGTGTGTGTGTGTGTGTGTGTGTGTGTGTGTGTGTGTGTGTGTGTGTGTGTGTGTGTGTGTGTGTGTGTGTGTGTGTGTGTGTGTGTGTGTGTGTGTGTGTGTGTGTGTGTGTGTCTGTGTGTGTGTCTGTGTGTGTGTCTGTGTGTGTGTGTGTGTGTGTGTGTGTGTGTGTGTGTGTGTGTGTGTGTGTGTAAATGGCATTTTTCTTGTTTTACGCTTAAAAAACTAAATGAATGCTGATGTGTATATACAGATTGTCTGCTGGGTCCTAAAAGTCTTAAATTACATAAAGAAAATGTTAGGCCTTAAAGTCTTAAATTCACTGAAATATTGTGTTGTAGGTCTCAACTAGTTTTAAACAGGTCTTTATTTCCCTGTCCAAGTAAAACTATCCAATCGGCCTGACACCCAATCACCAATAATCCATCTCAACTCTCAAAATTTCATTCATACGGGTCTTAAAAGGGTCTTAAAAAGTCTTACATTTGATTTGAAGAAACCTGCAGAAATCCTGATTTAACTTTTTTTTTAATTACATTTTTATTACATTACAACATCGATGCTGTAAAAGGAAAGGAACAGTATAAAATTAAAAAAAACATTTACCACACATTAACCGTTCACCGGAAGTTTATCAGTATGGGAAGAAACATTAGCTGAGTATATACCCTGTTTTGTACATTTTGTTATATTACCCTTTAGATTTTATATTATTTAAATGAAGTCCTTCATCTCTCTCTGCAGGTAAAGCCATCCATGCGATGGTGGCTCACTTGGATGCTGTTACTAGTCTGGCAATTGATCCAAATGGCATCTACTTGATGTCAGGAAGTAAGTGTTTTCCGCTCAGAGTATCAGTGCTGTACTTTTTCTTCCGTTTTGCCACTTTACGTTAGTAGCAATTAGACAGTTTTTCCATACATTTCATCCATGGTTATCTTTGATGAAAAACAAAAGTAGATGTTTTGCAGAATGTCCAAGCTGCTCTCTTCCACACTATGAAATTGCACCATTTTCATTGTGTGGGAAGAGAGCAGCTTGGACATTCTGCTAAACATCTACTTTTGTTTTTCACGATCATGGATAAAAATGTATGGATTAACATAGCTCAGGCCAGCATATAGAAGAGAGCAGCTTGGACATTCTGATAAATGTCATGTTTTGTTATAGACATAATGTAAATTTAGCGTTTTAAAAAATATTTTCTCTTCTCCATCTAAAACAGGTCACGATAGTTCAATCCGCTTATGGAACCTGGACAGTAAGACTTGTGTACAGGAAGTCACCGCTCACAGGAAAAAGTCGGACGAGGCCATATATGACGTTGCCTTCCACCCATCGAAGGCATACATAGGAAGTGCCGGAGCCGATGCCCTGGCCAAAGTGTTTGTATAAAGGCACGCCCATATTACCACATCCACAAAGACAGACAGACAGACAGAGAGAAAGAAAGGACTGCTTCACTGCCTTGTGTAACAAGAGTAGCATTTCTCACACTACATTGAAGTGGCTTCCACCTTCGGTGTCAAACTCACACCACACACACAACGAATACCAGGTGCCAAGAAGGGGACGTGCCGTTTCTTTTTTCGCGAAGCCAGTGTGGAGTGCTCAGTCAGTTTTAATCTTTATTTTTGTTTCCTGAAAAAAAGCAAGAAAAAAAAACAGAAAAAATACCTGTAATTTACTGTAAGCTGGAGTGAAACCAGTGCTTGTAGCCTTTTGACTGGTTCTGAACTGAGCTGATAATGTGTCCTGTAGGTTTGTTTCAGTGACCATGGAGTGGCTGTTTATGTTCATCCATCAGTAGGTTTTCATCAACCGTCATCAGGGGCACCTGAGGAACCCAGTCCCACCCTGCCGAGCCATAAAACCAGACCCCGATCTCATCCTAATGTAGCGTGCAAACCAATACAGTTAAACTCAGTCAACCTTCATACCTTTAGCGTTTGTTTCTTTTTTGTGTAAAAAAGTATAGTTTTTATAATCAATTTTATATAAATAAAGACTGTCATAAAAGCGCTGAAAATCACATTTTTTAAAGGGACTATAATCCCACTCGAGCCCTCCATTTCCCGCGGTTCTCCTTCACAAAGTTCTTGTGTATCCGGAAAGCCTGGATGAATGCTCTCCTTTACACTTACTACATTGCTTTAATGTTGTTTTGTCATCACGTAACGGAGAGACTGTACGCCAGTAGAAGCACAGCGCGTGGTGACATGAGAGCTTATAGGAATCTACAAATAAACTGCAGCATCCTGTCACTATGTGATGTTTCTGTACACCTTACTGTAAAATGAGTTGAAGTATCACAAGTTAGAAATCCGAACGCTATTTATTTTCAGTCTGTGGATAGTCTTATCCTTTGTTGAGAGCGCATAGCTCGACGGTGACTACAATGTCGGGCTGTTGCTAACCAAACGGAACAGGTCATTCGATAAGTGAGATTAATGTGAAAGCTCTTTTTAAAACACGGTTTCTTAGTTGGCTAAAAATGGCGTTTAAATCACCTCACGATGCCGGAGATCAGGTGAGAACTGTTTTTAAAGTTAAAGGGATGGTTCACCTCTAAATGAAAATGCTGTTGTCGTTTACTCGCCTTCATGTCTCTATAAAGCAATATGACTGATTTTCATCTGTGCGACATAAAAGAAGCTATTTTGAAAAATGTCCTGAAACTTAAGACGCAAACATACCTTCTTTTGTGTGTGTCTGTTCCCGTGGAAAAGACCTTCATGTTGGTTTAAAACGACACGGGGGTGATTAAATGACGACGTCACATTTGGAATTTGAATACTGCGTAATAACATTTGCTTTGTGGTCCTTCTGCCCCCCAATCAATTTTTAAAGGAAACGATGCAGTTTATGGTGTAACAAAAGACCTTTTTGTTTGTGTAATGCATGATTAATACTAAAAAATAAAGTATTTTTTCTAGTCTTCCAAAAGTTCTGATCAGTTTGAAGAGTTTTGATGAGTTTTGTAAGGTTTTTGATTTACTACGAATCAACAGATTTTAAAGATTGTACCACATAGCAAAACAACTGTTGAAAAGTAATGTATATAAAATGTCTATAATAAATATTAAATGGTGTATCTGTATATGCAACATGCCCCCTGTCTCCATAATTAAGTCTGCATTTAATTTGAACTGACAGGTCATTGATGATGACGAATGAAGGATGCCAGTTTTAATAAAGATTGTGTTTCTAATCAGAGAGATGCAAATTGAACAAACCACCTCCTACATGAAGTCATACATGTGTTTCTTGAATATGCTGAGGTTTCTGATGAGGCTGGGCAGAAGAGGATGTTAAGCAGGTCAAGTTGTACAAACACCTTGTCCTTTATTGAGAAGAAAGTAATAAATTATAAACAAATGTACAAGCAGTTTGATGCCCCTCCTCGCATCTATTGTCATTCTGTGAGGCAGTAAAGCATGCATATCTAAAAAGTACACAGAAAATAGGCTCGATAAATAGATTAGTATAATTTAAGAAAAGGAAAATATAGATATATTTATAGTAAACACATTAACTTTTAACCATTATCCTCTTCTCACACACAGACACACTTGATTCTTTGCGAAAATGCGATGAATGTATTATTACAGTGCATGTATATTGGTGGTACCCCTGGGAAGGACCATATATAACCCAGATCTATGTGAACGAAAGCTTTGTTTTGTGTACTGCCATCAGAATGCGTTAGAGGGCGCTGCTTCACTGATAATCTTCGTGGCTGCTCTTGCTCACCATCTTGTTGCAAAACTGGAATTGAATCTTCAAGTTCTGAAATTATTCTAAAAGAGCCTTTTGTTACAGTGACCCCTCCACAGGAAAAAAGGCTTGCCAGAAGCAGCGAAAGAATGTGTTGTTGGTTTTTTTCAACAGAAACATAAAGAGAAAGACTACAAATCACAAATAATTACATTCTCCACATATAGAGAAGTTGACATACAATACTGTGTGATACATTCTCAAAAAAGCTGTAAAAACCTTTGGATCAAACATATCAATTCCTTTATATCAAAACCGTTCAAATCCCTTTTTCTACAAATCTAAAGACAAACGTGGTTTTCTTATTTACTCTGACACCTTTTTTTTTTTGTTGAATTTCTTCATATTCTTGCACTCAAGAAAATCTCAAAATTGTCTAATTGAACTCTGTGAAGTCCCTGCAAATGCCCCGGACGATGGGCTGCTGGAACTGTCCCAACCCGGTGAACTCGCGAGTGAAAAACACATGGCTCTCCTTGGGCTCAGACGCCATCGCCTTCAGATCTTCCATAGGAGCCCAAGCAACACCCACTGCGTAAACAGTGATTCCTGTTGAAGAAAGAAGAAAAAAATCACGGTCAGGATGACATTAGACATAATATCACCTTTGTTTTTTTGCTCCTGAATGTTCAAGATCACTCATTGTTAATCCTTGCTGACCATGAGGTCCCCCACCAGTACCTGCACCACCTCAGGGCCCTTCACAGTAAAAAAAAATAAATAAATAAACAGCTAGATTTAGCTGGCAACTCTTTCTTATACTTCAAATAACATTTTTATCTCGTTGGTCCCCCTGGACCTTCAGAGCCCCACGGATCCCTAGTTTCAGATCAGGGTTGTCCAATACTTCTCCAGGAAGAACTAGCTCTTTAACCAGCTTTAGCACACTTGCGAGGAGGTTTCTAGTGAGCCTAAGCACATTGATTAACTATTTCAGATGTGTTTTATTAAGGTTAGAGTTAACTGTGCAGACCCATGGTCCTTGAAGAACGTTTAGACTAGGGGTCACCAAACTTGTTTCTGGAGGGCCGGTGTTCTGCAGATTTTAGCTCCAACCCTAATCAAACACGCCTGAACAAGCTAATCAAGGTCTTACTAGGTATACTTGAAACACCCAGGCAGGTGTGTTGAGACAAGTTGGAGCTAAACCCTGCAGGGACACCGGCCCTCCACGACAGATTGGTGACCCCTGCTTTAGACACTCCTGCGGTCAGTACTGATTTGCCCAATCTTGCTTGTGGAGGTCCGGCAGTCTTTTTTGGTCTGCAGATTTTTATTTCATTTATTGCAGGACAGTTCCCCTTCAAAACCAGGGATGGCCAAGTTCGGTTATAATGAGGTACAGTCCTGAAGAGTTCCACTCCAACCTTAACCAACCTCCTAAATGGCAGACAGGTCAGATTTAATCCGAGTTTGATCAGAACCCTTCAGGGCTGTGGCTGTCCACTTTGACTACCCGATTCTAGAGGAAATGCCAATTCAAAGATGCCCAATCGTGCTCTTGAAAGAGTCATCGTCCTACAGATGTCAGCTCCAACATACTTGCCTGTAAATTTCTAGTGATCCTAAACATGTATTCCCTTTTCAAGTGTAGGAGCTAAAGTCTGCTAGAACAGAGGCTCTCCTGGAGATAGTTTAGATGCCCTTGTGTGAGTAAAATACATACCCTCTCTTTGGGCAGCCATAGCTGGAACTCTCACATCATCGTAAGATTGTCCATCAGTGATGATGATGAGAAACTTCCTGTTGGAGCTTGAGCGGGGTTTAAAGAGACTCCGCACAGCAAAGTTAATGGCATCTCCAGTGGCTGTTCCCCCGCTCATATATGGGATCTTCTGCAGGGCCCTTAGAGCATTATCTTTCAAGACATGGTCATTGAAGTTGAACTCCATCCTTTGGTCATAGGTAAACTGGATAGCACCAATGCGAGATCCAATGTCGGAGATATCAAAGCTACGTGCGATAGAGACAAGGAGGTCCAGCACCAGCCGGAAGTTCCCGTCACCTACACTGCTGGAGCCATCGATCAGGAAGCCCAGATCCACTGAGTTGTAGCACGTCTTGCTGCAAAGCATCTGATCGATGGAGCAAAGCTTTTGAGCTAGTGGCTTTACAAACTTGTTGGTGCTGAACCAACTGGGCATGGTGAAGGTGAAGAACTCATTGTCCTTGCACACTGCCTGTAAGGTACATGACAGCATAAAAGGATTTCGGGAGAGTCAGAGGTTCACACTAATGATTTGTGGTGTGTTTTTTCAATGAGTTCAAATGTGAAACATCTCACCTTTCTCATGAAGTCTTGATCGCTCACCAGACTTGCCTCCTCAGGGGAAGGCTTGGCCACAGACACAAAGAAGATGTTAATGCCAGACTCTCTGGCTAAAATTGCTGCCTCCTCCACATTATCAGAAGGCCACCCATCAACAAACACCACAATCACCCGTGGGTAACCTCTCCGCACCCCAAAATCCGGACTGAAGAAGTTCCTCACGGTGTGCAGTATGGCCTTACCTGTGCAAAAACCAATAACTTAAGCCTGCCAAGATCTGCTCATAAGCATCAATAATCATTGAGTTGAACTAAAGCAAACTAAAGTTAAGTGTCAGAGATAAGTTTAATCTACGTCAGCATTATCTGTGGCATAGTGTTGATCAAAATCATACTGACCTGCAAAGCAAGTCCACATCTCCTGCGATAGATAAGCAGTTGGGAAATGGATTGAGGATGTAAAAACTGTATTTCCAGTAATGTACTTACAATACAAGTCTGTCTGGAAGGGTTCAATATTATGGGTCTCAATGCACAAATGTTTAAAGTTTTGCGTGATACATTAACATGCCAAAATGTGCCAAAAATGAACTATTTTTATGGGTGAGTGAGTTATTTATTATTGCACTTGATTCCTAGACAATTTTTTTGGAGCAAGCGACTTATTTGCTCAACCAATTTTTTTATAAATGTAAATTAATTAAGAATATATATGCATGTGTATACTTCATTTATTTGGATTTTATTTTAAGTGCATCACTATAAATTACATTTGTTCAGTTTACATCTTCTAAAGGGTGGCATGATTTACTTACAAAAATATTTCATGTGTTCAACCCATTCGTTCATATGAAATACGCAGTTCAGGAGAAGTTATTAAACCTGTATTGGTATTGCCCCCAATGTACGGGATTTCTTTGATGGCAAAGGTCACATCTTTGGCTGTCGTATAGTTTGTCAGGTAGAATTCAGTTCGAGGTGTTTCACTGGGAAGAAAGACATGGATTATAGGTGACTTCTTGATAAGTGCTCACTATGATAAATGACTTGTGTTTATGCACAGATCACCTGGTTTGCACCACTCCTACATGAGGACCTTGTGTCCCAACCTTCAGCATGGTTGCAAGTTTACTGACAAAGTTCTTCTGCAAGTTGAACCGCCGCTGTCCGATGTTGTAGCTGCTATCCAGCAACAAAGCCATATCAACTGGACAATCTGGAACAAGGTAATATTATATAATAACACACATGCCACGTCACGCTACTTACAATAAGTTTCTTAGAAAAGAAAATCAGCCAGTACAGACCTTTGTGTGCTGTTGCTGGAGGAGGCTTCTTCACTATTTTTTTCACTGGCTTCTTGGCTGCAAGACAGAAATAGGAATGCTTAGTTTAGCCCACACATGTCAAATATCTTCAGTTATATGAACATTTAGTACCTGCTCCAGATGCGACGGTGGCAGAACTGCTGGTTTGGCTGGACACTTCCAAAGGCAAGCTAATTGTTCCTGAGACAAAAGAACAAAGTTAGCGTGACAAATCTTTATATAGAGGTCTAAAGCTACGTTTATTTACTATGATAATCTAAACAATTGTATACATCATATTATTTATATGAACAGTTTGGCTGAATTGAAAACAGATCATACTTTAAATTTGGAAGTCAATAACTGAAATGTAGGCTGATAAATCTACATCTTGAAATTACTTTTTCTCATCCTGATTATGCAAACAAAACACAAATCAATAAAACTGCAAATTAACATTTATCGGCTAATACAGATATAGCTGATGATATATCTAATATCACTTTTCCTGAAGTTATTGTTTGCTGCAGTCTTTCCTTTCTTTTGTACATGTTATAATTTTAGAAGTATAAGATCATTGTGAACAACATATATAATGATTAGACAAATTATTATATTATATTGTGTGATTTTATATTATATTGGGTTATATTATATTATATATAGATTAGATTAGATTAGATTAGATTAGATTAGATTAGATTAGAGATTGTGTGCAAGTGTAATGAAAATATTTATGTTCAGCAAATCTTTGAATCTGTAAATAAATCTACACATCCAATTGGCATTAGTAATTGTCTCCACTCACGGGCCACAGTGAACGATGCGCTCCATTGCGACAGTGACTGCGACTGAACACCATGAGCGTAAGAGCTGAGGTAGTTTGTCCTCCCTTGCAGTCCGTGAACCTCCACTGGTCCACCAGACAGACCTATGATTCCTCTGGATGAAAGACAAACGTTTCCTTGTTATTGGAGTCTAGCAAGTCTGCAACTGTATCGTTTAAAGTGAAAACTGTACCTGTGAATGGCTGCTCCGCATATGCTGGAAATAGAGGCATAAACTCCAGAACCAAACACTGAGAGGCTCCACAGAGAGCAGTTTGCTGGACAGAGCACCAGCAGATGTGTGTCTGACAGATCCACCGCACGAGTCCCACAGCTAATCGGCGTTGCAACTAAAACCAAATATCAAACTTAAAGCAAACATATAAACAATAAATAGGTTTTTAAAAAGTCTCTTAAATACTGATAAAAATTCATTTGACTGGAAAATTTGTCATAAAGTGTGTTCTTTTTCTGATAAAAATTTATTAATTAATTAGTAAAATAAATCCTTAATAATAAATAAAGTAAATTATATATTTAAAATATGTCTGTGCTACTGAAAACATAAATAAAATACTTTTTTCACTTAAATAGATTTTAAAAGGTTTTAAAAAACGAAGCAAATCTAATAAACATTTTAAACTTAATGTATTTTACATTTTACATACATAATTGTATTTTAAAAGATCTTTCAGCTACTTATGAATTATAAAAAATGGATGAATAAAACTATAAATTAAATTGTTATATAAAAAATGTCTCCTAGCTATTGATCAGCCCAATTAAAAACAAGAAAGTCAGAGTTTACAAAAATGTGCTGCAACTTTATAGCAATATTTAATATGACAAGATATACACTGAAGTGATTGTAAAAACTGACCATTTAATTCAGATCCAGAAGTGCACCAGCTCAAAGAGAGAATACCTGTGAAAAAGAAAGAAACGCATTCATATGATAATTAAATTTGATGATAATTCAGTATTAGAAGTGTTAAGTATCAGTTGCTTCAATTAAACAAATCACCTACCTAAAACATGAAGGACAGCAAACCACAACGACATGGTTAATGAAGATTTCTGTAGAGACAAAAGAGCATTTTACCAGGCACCAGTGAACAAAAGCACCCCATTCTGCATTAAAAGCACTTTATACTCTTTTCTTTTTTTTTTAACAAAAAAACCCCTAAACTTTCTGAGGCTTTTAAATCTATCTTTATTCTTCCTTTTATCTAGGTGTGTAAAATGTATTTGGCTCGCACAAGTGAAATCAGATATGATACAGGAAAAATGTAATCTCCCCAGACACATCCATCATAAACAGCTCCTCTGGAAATGCATACTTCAGTTAATCCACTCACAGAGTGAGGGAAAAGGAGACAGAGGCACGAAAAGAGAGAAGAAGAGAAAAAAAACTATCTGGATATATAAAATGATCACTATTAAAAGGCACTAATCAGCCAAAAATCATCAACCTATGAAGATTTAATCCAACTTACAGATTTTGTGTAGGATGACGTTTCCTCAGCCTTAAAAGCTTATACACAAAAAATAAAGTAATTCCCTTATGGATGATATTCCAGAGGTGTCTGGATATTGAGGAAAGAGCTTGTCCTTTAAATAATGTCGCCGAAAAGCCCAATGATTCCCTGCTGACGTCACAAGAGGCGGCCCTTAGAGCCAAACCACCTGAAAAGGACATTGTTTTAAATTCTCCTGCTTTTCAGACCTTAAGATATGCAATGTTCTACATCCCTTACCGATATAATAACTGATTAGTTAGTGTTGGTGAGTAGAGCAATAAATCATCTAAGATAATTAAACCACCCATGCATTCATTCAGCTTGTATTTATTTATTTACATGTTTTACATGATTAACCCAGAAAACACCTCTGAAAATGTCAATAAAAGTCACTTTTTAAACTGCTGAGTGACATTTTCAACATCAGAGTCCTATAATACAATGACAGGCATTTCAAAACTTTATCTTAAGGTTAATCAAGTGCATGTAAGCTTGATTCAGTGCTGTAAAATATGATATAAACACAAATCTTACCCAGAATGATTCAACTGATGGAAATAAAACCCACAGTCCATTGAGAAAACCTATACAAATCAATAGAGCCACAAGATCAATGAGCTAGTATACTGCAATTATCCAGTATATGAAGAGTTCAGATGCAAAAACCTCTAAAAGCCGTCTGAAATTTTCTCTTATAATGAACATTTTTCTAAGTCTTCTGGGTTTTTGTTCAGTTATTTCACTTTAAAGGCAACGAAAAGAAGTTATTCGTCACTATAAAAGTAAAATTGCTCAGCCTACACACAGAAGTTGTGTAGAGAAAAATGCTCATGTCAGAGGGAAATATCAAATCATTTTTTTATTTAGCTTTTGGATCTGAACTCTTCATATATCTAATTTACAATATGATTTCCTGTGGAAGAATGTCTACATTTTCATTTTTTATATAAATATATTAACCATTTTGATTAAAATATTGATTATTTAAATAACCATTTACACTTAAAATAACCTTTTGTGGACAAAAAGGTTCCATGGCTGTCAAAGGTTTTTGTAGAACCATCAACAGCAGAAAAATGACCATTTTCATTCATTTATTGATTTTCTTTTCGGCTTATTAATCTGGGTTGCCACAGCGGAATGAACCGCCAACTTATCCAGCATACTTTTATGCAGCGAATTGCCCTGCAGCTGCAACCCATCACTGGGAAACACCCACACACTCTCATTCACACACATACACTACTGACAATTTAGCTTATCACCTACAGCGCTTCATTAGACTGTGGAGGAAACCGGAGCACACGGAGGAAATCCATGCAAACACAGGGAGAACATGCAAACTCCACACAGAAATGCTATATGAGACTTGAACCAGCAACCTTGTTGTGAGGCGGCAGCGTTACCCTTTGTGTCACCCATTGTTTGTATCTAAAATAGAGTTTGTTCATTCATTCATCTTCTTTTCAGCTTAGTCCATTTATTAATTTGGGGTTGTCACTATGAACTGCCAACTTATCCAGCACGTGTTTTACAAAGCAGATACCCTTCCAGCCACAACCCAACACTGGGAAACACCCATACACTCTTGCATTCACACACATACACTACGGATAATTTAGCTTATTCAATTCCCTTATAACGCAAGTTTTTGGGTTGTTGGGGAAACCGGAGCACCCAGAGAAAACCCATGTGAACAGGGGAGAGCATGCAAACTCAGAAATGCACACAGAAATGCGAGATGACCCAGCCAGGGCTTGAACCAGGGACCTTCTTACTGTGAGGTAATCTTGCTACCCCCTGTGCCACTGTGACACCTGTAGACTGGCTTATTTCAGGGCAAATTTAAAAATAAAAAAATATGGACAAACCTATTCACTGGGTTCAATTTTGAAACATTATTTTAAACTGCGCTTGCATTTTTTATGCACAATTTGTTACTCAACAGCAGAAGGCCAGCATTTTTAACACTTTCAAAACTCATCTCTATTTACTCTCCCTTTTGGTTTTAAAACTTGAGTTTATTCTGTTGAACACAAAAGAATATTTTGAAGAATGCCCAAGTAGGTTTTAAACAAGTGCAGGGTGAGTAAATTATGATAGCTTGTATTTTCTATTCCTTTAGCTGAAGCTTATGCTGGCAAAACATCCTTAATTAGTTTTTATCTCCAGCACACTGTGCGTTCTTATGTAAAACAGAACAGTTGGGTTGGTCAGCATGAGGCTGTCCAGTTTTCAAAGAGGTCTCTGTCCTCTCCTGGTCACTTTTACGTAATCGTCCTTCATCAGCTGTACTGTGGACCATTTCCAGCTTTAATCCTGGCAGCAAACAGGAATATGATATGTTTACTGCGGCATCTCACGATTCATTGGCATGTAGTGATTAAGTGGAGTGGAGGTTTGTAGAGGTGCGACAGATAAAAAAAAAAAGCTGAAGGAACGATACTCAATCCATCTGTTATGAGCCTCTTTGAACAACTGCTCATTGTAACAACCGGGAACTGTCCCAGTGTCTCAATTAATGAATATTTCACAGCACACAAAGTCCATGTCAGGCTAAAGCGCTCTTTCACAAGGAAATATTTGTGAAGGTCACGAAGGTAACATCGAGTTTCCCAGCCAGAGTGTGAACTTCCATATCAAGTAAAGCTTGCTTAGATGAAAACCATTAATGAGTCAATTCCAGCGGTTTCAGAAGCTTAATTATTGTGCCAAACTAAAACATGATAGGCTGGACTAGTGGAAAACAAAGACACAATCAGGTTCTATTAAGAAGTATTTATATACTGTGCTGCAAAAAAAAAACAAGTAAAATAATACATTACATAATACATAATAAAATATACATTATATATACAGCTTTTTGGTATTATCAATCTAACTTCATTTTGACAACAAGGGGTAGTAGCTTACCACATAGCAAAGCCTAGCTCTGGCCCACACAATCTGCTTTTGCTCGGCCCACATGCCACAGTGAATTATGGTAAATGACTGGACCAAGTCTGGCTTCCAGACAAGAGCCAAACATGAACTATGTCTAGGCCAAGTCTCAGCCAAGATAATAACCCATAACCGGGACTGAACTGGGCCAGATATGTTGCAATGAAATTAATAAACCCATGAACCCACTTTTTCTGATTGGTAGAATTTTTTTTTACTCAAAAATAATTTAAATCTTTTTCAAATGTGGGTCAAAATAGGCCAATTTCATGTGGCCCACATACCGATTTGAACATCTGGGCCAAATACTTAATTCAGTGTCTGGCCCAAGTCTTGTGTGTCACCTTAAAGATGGTGCCATCTCTGCCACACCCGGCCCATGTTTGGCCCACATGCTGTATCCCAGAGCCAGATGAATGTCTGCTGTTCCAGCTTTTTGCCAAATTTGGGTCAGAATTCTTTGTTACTTGGGTTATCAACTGAAGTGCCAATATCTACTCTTGCAGTACACTGACAACCATGAGAAAGTCTCATAAACAAATGAACTGATTCGTCAAAAAGAATTTCCACAAGCTGAAAAAGTACATACTGATTTGAAAGCATAAGTCATTCACGCAATCACTGAACACCATCATGGTAACACATGACACTGTAAATAATGCAATACACATTAGCTGTAACCTAAAACCCAACTGTGGCCTGCATAAAAGCTGATAAGAAAAAAGAAAATTGACCCCCAATGCAATATCTTTTACAAACACACTGGTTTAAAATGTTTATTCTCTACTTATTTTGATCAAAAATTATAATGGAAGTGAAAACGTCACCAGTGGATAGATTCGCTATTTAGAGGGCTATGTGTGACTCCGGACCACAAAACCTGGTGAAGCAGTGTTTTCATAAAAGCATGTTATCAAGGTAATCTTTTGTTTTTACCATTTGTTCGCAGCAATCGTCTGTGCATTGGAACATTGTTTTTTTTAATCAACTTCTAGCAACGTTACAACGCTCAAGAGTGCTTTAAAACATGTGTCTGTATTTAAGTTTATGTCGATTACAACAGGTGAGATAAAACAACAAAAGTAAATTGCAATCAAATGCTTGATAGTAATATACAGTGCAGAACTTTTTCAAAAACACAGTGCTGTAATATTTTCTGTTACAGAAGCTGCAGCAGATTACACTAGCTATGCTGTAACATTACGACCATATATAGGTACTACTAGTTGTTAGTAGTTTACCGTATTTTTACAGTGCAATTTTTTCAAAATTTCTGAATAAATAAGCTTTTCATTAATGCATGGTTTGTTAGGATGTGCAATATTTGGTTGATTTGTTTCAAAATCTGGAATCAATAAAAAAATGAAAAAATAAAGTTTTTAGCAATGCATATACAGTGCATCCGGAAAGTATTCATAGTGCTTCACTTTTTCCACATTTTTATTGAAATTAAATGCGTTTATTTCCTCAAAATTCTACACACAATACCCCATAATGTACATTTATTTTTTAATTGTTTCAAATTTATTCAAATGAAAAACCTGAAAGATCACATGTACATACGTTTTCACAGCCTTTGCTCAATACTTTGTTGATGCACCTTTGGCAGCAATTACAGCTTCAAGTCTTTATGAATATGATGCCACAAGCTTGGTACACCTGTCTTTGGGAATTTTTGCCAATTCGTCTTGTAAGTATTCAATAATTGAGTTTTGATATATTGATATATTTACAGTAGGAAATTTAGAAAATATCTTTATGGAACATGATCTTTACTTAATATTACAAGGGTTTTTGGAATAAAAAACAAAACAAAACAATAAAACAACACACAATGGATTTTTAGCTATTGCCAATAGGTTACCTGTGCACATTAAAACTTCTAAGGTTTTAAGTCTGTTTTTGTTGTCCTTGGTCACAATTAGATTCTCTTTGAAAACCTACAACTACAAATCAGAAAAGGTTGGGACAGTATGGGAAAACACAAATAATAAAAGAAAGTAGTGATGTATTTCATTGCAGACAATATGAACCCAAAATATTTCATGTTTTGTCTGGTCAACATTTCATTTGTAAATAAACATCCTTTCCTGTCATTCAG